GTGACGTGATAAATAAATAAGTAAATTAGTTAAAATAATAAACAAATAAGTAGATACACAAATAAGCAGACATATAAATAAATGAACAAATAAATAAGCTTGCTTTCACAACCTACTGAACAAAAAATAAATAAACAAATCGCTTAATAAAGTAGACATGTTTTTGTGAATTGATGGCTGCTGTAATTTTCACCGACCCGCAAAGTCCAAGTGATCCTGAAGTAGACACCTTCATCCATTCTTTTTTCTACTCTTCACCTAAACAGAGGTACAACTTACCCCCCCCCCTCTCTACCCCCTTCCCCCACATTTACTGCTCCTACATTTTAAAGGGATGGTCATTCACACAAACCAAACAAACACGAACAATATATACATAGCTTCAACTTGTTAAACCGTTGTTTTTTGCAGCATTGCGAAAAAATATTTATAAAAAGTTTTTTTATGTTAAAAAACCGTAGAGAGCTGTGTTGAGCTGAAATATGGCCCTGATGATGCAACGATAAACAACGAGCTCCGAGTTCGATTCTCTGGCCGGGAAGGAGTCTTGCCCATAACCTGGCATCCTTGTAAAAACAGACGATATTGGCGGAAAATTCTGCGGAAACGTTAGTCATCAGGTCAGACCAGAAAATGATTCTATCTCATATACGACCACACCCATAAAATTACCTGCCATCCATTACAAGTTTATCATCTTCACCTTGGGTAAATGTCTTACTGTAGTGGGACCGGGACTCTATTTTGGATACTAGGACCAGTTCCAAATGCTCTGTGCACATAATTTCTCATACCAGAAAAATCTTTCGCTCTCGCACTGGGTTTGTGATACCGCGAGGTTTCATTGGGTGTCACCCATGTGATGTGAGCGATGACAAAGCAAGAACAAGAAAACAATGGAACGGAAGGTTCTTTCACGCCGGCAGAAAAGAAACCAGTTCGATTTAACGAGTTGTTGTTTTAATCTTTGGTGTTTCTCGTCATATAGTATCTGCAACGGCGTCCCCAGCAACGTGGTAATCTCGGCGAAACTCATTTTGCTCCGATCGATGACCACCAAACGAAAATAGAGCTTGTCATGAGGCCATAGAGAAATCGACAACCTGCGGCACATCTCCCACCCCCTCTGGACAAAAGGCCCTTAGATGCTGCTCTCATTACTAGTCCGAATTCGAGTATTGTTTCAGATATTCTTGACGAAGATGTATCTTTTCTTCAAAAATAGGTTCATCAGCCATGTCATTAGATCGGTGCCAGGTACTGAGCTAATGACACTTGCTGCTTTGGCAACTGTGGATGCAATTATATGCAATATTTCCGTCACTCGGACACTCCTAATGCAGAATTCGACGTAATTATGTTGGCTAGTATTACGACCCGCGACACCAATTTTTTGAAAGACCATTGCCACACATGAAGACATCCGATTGTGGCCAGCTGCGGCTAATAAAATATATGAATTTATATCTGTTTGAAATGGTGCTTCCAGCATAAATCCCGTGGGTATTTTTCTTCAGGGCTATTATTTTCACTCTACCTCTTTCCGATTTCCATGTCAAAACCTCTTTTCGCATATTAACTGTAGCTTTTCATTCTCTCTGAGACCATGGGTTCCACAAAGATTTCCCAGAACGAACCTGTCGGATGAAATTCTTTAACACGTTGACGACATTGTGCAGCGCATGCGCATCACACCTTGAGCACCGTGTGGGACCGTGTGCAGCGCATGCGCTGCACACACAAAATATTTATTTTTTCGCGCATGCGCTACTTCTTTTCTAATTTTTTTGCATCTATTCTATAGACTACACCATAATATGACTAGACACGGCGAGGTTCATTGAATGGTTGAATATGCTCCTTTTTAGCGAAGGTTTTCTAAGCCCTACGAATTTCCCAATTGTGTTCATTCCTAGTTTCCTTTATATTCTGATAATCTTGGTCATAAAAAGAGCAGTAGAAGTAAGTACAGACCCACACATATAGCAAGACATATGTTTTTAGTGGAGCAACCGCGCCAAAAATAATTTTGAGGTTCACTGCAGCAAAAGCAACTGAAACTCGTCTTTCATTGCCAGAAAATCGTCAATTAGATCGATTGTTCACAGCTGTCCCTTCTGGTAAGTTTGACACATCGAATATCATTCTAAACATTTTGCTGCATCGGAGTTTTGGGTATTTAAAGCTCAAAATTCACGGATTTGATGTGAGGCGGCGGCGCCTGCAAAATCGCCGTGGTCCCACGCGGTGCAAAAACCCAAAACGCGCGTTGTCGTCAACGTGTTAAAGACCGCAGTTTAAGACGACTGTAAAATTTTGGGTACATCTGAAGTCACATTCACAAATACTTCGTTCATACGTTCGATTTATTGAGGAATTAGCTGGTTAGGCAATCAGGGTTAGTG